GAAAGATAAGATCTATTTTACCGATGAAGAAATCGGATTCTTTGAAACGTATGAAATTAGTGTTTTTTTAAACAGAAGATTGAAAAAATTAAATGTTTTCCGTCCAAAAATCAACTTGAATTATACATGAAATTTTTCTCTAGCCCTAGGGTTTTTGATAAACCATAATTAATGCTTTTAGAAAATTTTAATTGTATTGAAGAACAATGGGCTTTTTGTTTCCAATTATTTCGATCATTCATACCAATGGGCACGTTCGTTTTTTAAATGCATTATGTTTGTGTGCATGTTCCAATTAAGATGCTATCATAAAATGAAACATAAATTGAATTTTGAAGTATGACATCAGAAGCGTGAAAATAAGAAAACACGATATATCATTCCAACAATTATTGCACCCTACAATCATGAATAGCCCCCCCCCGCCCCTATAGTCCTTCATTTTTCGGTGTTTGTCTATGAACCTCAAAAATATTTTTTAGTATTCATTTTATTGATTTTTTTCAGAATATATATCTATCAACAGATTTTGATTAGATAGATCATCATGAAGAAACGAAAAACTTGCTAATGTTAGAATTTTTCTTTACGAGACGCGAAGCTTTTTTTATATAATTAATCATTCACACTTAAAATTCGTCCGCACTTAACTATAAATTCCGTTGTTTTCTGTCTTGTTTATTCAAATAGCTAATTTCTATTAATTCGCTCCAATATCCCTAAAGAATTTGATTGATTTTTCTCTAAAATTTTATGAAAATCACCAAAATATGCTTATTAAGCTCTTTAAAATGAATCAACATGACATTTTAAATTTCTCAAAAACTTTTCGTTACTACAAAACAAAACATATACTTAATGTATTTTTTTAAATTAATTTTACGTGTATTATTGATTTGATATCATGATTCATAACTTGATAGAAAATAGCCTGAGTAAGCGGCGAAATTTGTCATTTTTACGATTTTTGCTCGCGCTGTCAACCTATCTGAACGTTTAAGTCGCCCTTTTTACTCCCATTATAAATCAAAGCCATCAGACCCACAAACCACTGATTGAAGAGAATTTCACCAAATAACATCTTATTTTTCCAATCGTAATATTCTTGAAGAAAACTGCTCCGTTAAAGTTCGTTTGAATGCACTCTCCAAAAATGTATTTAAATGTGACGATATGAAGAATACCAGAGTCTCTATTATTAGTGGCTCATAAAATAAATAAAAAAATAAAATGAGGAATTTACAACTTTGAAGATATTTTATTAATAATTACCTATTTTCGAAATATGTTCACATTGAGTTAACCTTTTCAGCGTTTAAAGGTTTTTGTAGTTTTTTTTGTTCTCGTTGGTAATTTTTCCATTCTTTATTTACAAATCGACTACTCAAGCCAGTTACGGTTTTTTTAATTCGTTTTGAAATCGTTTTTTTTTTTCGTCGCCACTGCCGAACATTTTTGACATGTTCTCCAGCCATCATTAGAGCTATTGAGGCGTATTTCGAGTGTGTATCGTAGTATCGGCGACATTTTTAAAACCAAAGCCCATGGGTATTCTGATACTGAACGGCACCTCGTTATCTTTAAACTTTTCCATACTCCCGCTTTATAAAAACTGAAGGTCTTTTTTGTCCGTTTTTTTGCCTCCTAGAACGTTAGATTCATAAATTTCTTATGATGATGAACTCAGGGTATTCAATTAAGTTTTTTGTTCATCGCGTTTCTCGTGACATGCTTGTATGCTTCAACAATAATTGAATCCAATATACAAAATAATTGCCATCTGAAATAATTTATTAGAATTCAAAAGCTAAACGAGTCCGTAGATATGCAAAAAAAAACGTAAAACCTTCAACGTTGGTAGATAATTTATAGCAAAAATGCTCCTTTACACCTTTTTGTTTGTTTTAGCAAAGACAGCGTCATTTCTCATATTGTTACATTTGCTGAGAAACGGGAAAAATCCAGCGATTTTTTTTGGAAGGTTTTTTATATGTGGCAGCATCAAAATACAAAATGTGCTGAAAAAGTTTACGCATTTAATTTTTGTTTTATGAATAAAATTTAAATTCATTTTAGTTACTAGAAATAATCGAAACAAAATATTTAATTTTCTTTAACTTTCTAATCAGAAAATTCAAGATTATTTTTTGTTGTTAAGACAACAGCAATGTTCGTTAGGCATTTCTGAAACTTTATCGGATATTCTCGAGATTCCAGAGGTGGTAAATGCGAAAAGAAAAAAAATGTGAAAAGGCGACAACCCCTTCTTAAAGGTCACAAGTTTTCTGTTTTCTTCTTTGTGGTGGAACTTCTCTTATAATACACGTTCCTTCAAGCAATTTGTTACTCATCAAAACTTTCTGTACTCATATTCTTCCATTCTTCAATTGCGCGTTTTTTTTTATCGTTTTTCTAGTCGTTAAAGCAATTTTTACAAGATCTGAGCATCGTCTTCCAGCTAATTGTTAGCTTGACAAAAAAAAAAACAATATATTTTCGCACTTTGATGTCATCTATGTAATTATTTTTTATTTGTCGCTTTCATTCGGATAGGTGCTGAATTCAACATTTTGGCGATTTTTGGTTCCACAATGTGAAACGCAATTTCTACGATAATCCTTAGAAAGTATTAGTAGTGATCCTTCCATGTAATATGGTCTCTTCTAATGAGTCTATAAATTGACATTAAAATTTTTTCCAAAGTGTGAATAATCATTTTGGCTCAACATACGATCTTTTCAAATCAAATACGCATGTCGGTATATGTTCAAATGATCTAAATTCTACAAAAAAAGTATAACTGGATTCCGGTAATTGCTGTATGCGGGTTGATTTACGGGTAGCGTCGATTTACGGTCTGATTTACGAGCTGCATAAATGCTCATTTTTTTAATGTTAATATTTTTCTAGCTGAATTTGTCATTTACGTTTGCTACCGTTTTTTCATTAAAAAATATTTGCAAACCGTAAAATTGAACAATGTGAACCGTGAAATTCGAAATTACTAAGTGGTCCGTATGAAACCATATTGAAAATACACCAGTCATACCAGAAAATATGTTCGTATATATCAATCGACTGACGCCGACTAGATATTGGTTGGAATGAAGGAAAAACAATTTCAGAACACCAAATTTGATAAAAAAAACATTCTCGAATTTTCCTTAAAATTGCCACGTTTGCCACACTATATTCACGGCTTTCCTCTTTTCTTTTATGAGTTTCCCGAAGAATATGAATCAGGTTGAATCTATTTTTTTTTATTGATAAAATGCATATAACATCGTTTGAAGCCAATAACGCGCAGATGTTCACATCCACCTTCCACTTCTTATTGTGTTCGCGTTTCCTTTGCGCGCGGCTCTCATGCTTCTTCATCGCTTTTACATTTCCGATTTTTCGTTTTTTTTTCTCCAGCGGTTCTTTCGGTCTATATTTGCGTTAAAGTGTATTTCAGTAAAATCAAATTTCTGTTCCATTTTGTTTTTGAAGAAAAACACAAACTGAATGAGAATTCCGAAAAAAAACAGCAAATAAGTTACAGGGAATTTTCCGTTCGTTTTTAGATTTCCCACAACAAAAATGTCTAGGTAAATCAATTTTCTTGAACAGAAATGACAGGGTTTCCTACTTCTATAAATTTTTCGCGACCATTTTCATTGCAAAACCTCGTCCATCAAAAAAAGAAAAACATTCGAAAATTGTTTGGGATAAATGCTAAAACATAATATACTAGTAGAACAAGAATAACATTGCACCGGAAACGCCTACTATGATAATTGTATATAAATTCGATATACATTTTGAGGAATATTCAAAAATCAAAACATTTTACTGACAATCCTCAAATATTATTGAAAATATCTTTTGTAACATTATTTAATACTATAATATTATTCAAAATAATTAGTGTGCGAAGACATATAATTATAAAATGTTCTATACTTGAACATTTCTCTAAATTATAAGCATTTTATTTTCAAAAATTTCACAATGTTAAAAATGCTCAATCGGGTCGCCTAGCAAGTCATAAAAAATGCTAAAATCCTCTCAATTTTTAAGGTGTTATTTTTTTTATGAATTGCGCACATCTGAACTATTGCATAAACAGAATTTTGAACGTGTCGGCCAATCTTCTCAACAGCTCATTTTTCAAACTAAAAAAGCACCCTCCCCCCCCCATTGCTTGAGAGACAAATGGTCTTCTCACCTATGAATGAAAGCTTCTAATCACTCCGAAGAACACTTATTATGTATTTATAAGATATTAAACACTCTTTTATAGTGTCATAAAATGCTCTCTCCGAAATTTCCGGACGTGTAAAAAACAGCGAATTCCACAAATCTTACCCATTGTGTTTTGTTTTCGGCTCAAAACATTATGGGTGTTCATTTCCGTTCCTTCTGAAGATGTTTTCTTTTTTTCAAAATGAAACTTCAAAGTCAGTTTAGCTTGCGTTTTTTCCTCGGGACCAATTTGCTCTAATTATGGGTCTGACAAAAGTCAGAAGCCACCCGACATGGCTATAACTAATTGTACATTGTTTATGAATATTCGTGATATTTACTCGTTGATTTTGTACAATATTTGTCCACGTTTGTTATATAGAACCGTTTATTATTATTCTACTAACTTTTTATTTAAATTCCAAGTTTATCCTTTAAACACGACTTCAATTCATATTATGTCATTTCGTTTTTTGATAATGAGCGTTTTTTTCCGAAAAAAACTTCCTCCCCCCTCCCTACCTAACGAAATTTGTATGAATACACTAAATATTCACGTTTTTCTTTCGCACCAATAGGTTATATTGAACTATACTATAGAATAATTGATTGTATTTTTTCCACCAAAAAATTTTTTAACTCTTCAGATATTTATTAGTTGAACTGAAGCATTTTTTTTGTTCGCCGCTAACACTTCTAGTTAAAACAATCATCACTTATTTTTCTCACTTTAAACCAAAAATTGTTTATTTTGATAATTTTAGGTGAGCGAAATGCAGCTTCGGCTCACCTTTCTGCTGTGGTAAACTGAGTAGCAGATCTCAAATTATCATTATTTATTATTTACAGTTTCTTATACTATTGCTCACAATCAAGAGGTCAACCTAACATTTACACATTACTGCAAAAGGTAAATAATCTTATTCTGAATAACACTATGATCATGTTCGTATTATGTTATAGCGTTTTATGAAATAATTCCAAGTATAAATTTGTATTCGTTTTCTCGACTAACTGAAATTCCTCCAATAATGAGTACTGTTTTTAATTAGGTCATATAAATAATAGGGCATTCTATTGCAGCTTATGAGATTCGTTAAACTTTGCTCTTCCGTGTCGGATATCAAATTTCGCAACAAAAAAAAAAAAAACAAAAAAGCCTATGCAAAATATGCTCTGTGAAAATTGAGCTGTAGCAAGAAATATATAACAGACAATTCAATAAGACATTTCGGGACAAGAAAAAAATGACAGTCTTCAAATGAATTCACTTGAAATTTATTAAAAACCACAAACATTGGGAATTTTTTTTTCAGATCACAGAAAGGCCACCAACGAGTCCTCCGAATAAACCACTTGATGTGAAATTAGGAATGTATCTGGAAAGTTTGGGAGATTTTCGTTCTTCTGAAATGGTAAAAAAAATCACATTTTCATGATATTTGTTTTGATTTCAGTCTTTTGATGTTGACTTATATGTTTACATGTCATGGAGAGATACTCGGCTAGAACATAATTTTTCAGACTTTGTTCTTATAAATAACGATGAAGTTAGAAAACAAATATGGTATAATATATTAATTAGAAAATGTAAATTTGCGATGTTTAGGCTACCAGATTTATATTTCGCAAATGCTAGGCAAGCCAGTATTCAGCAAGTGACAGTTCCCAACTTCAATTTATTTGTTGCTAATGATGGTACGGTTGCATATTCATTGCGATGTACATTGACAGTGGCATGCAGCCTCAACTTAAGGTGAGGTTTTGAATAAGCTGCAAGATATATGAATAAATGGTCTGAATTCAATTAAACGATGCTAATAATTTCAGGTTCTATCCAATGGATCAGCAGTTGTGCTCAATAAGGGTTCTCAGCTGTAAGATTAATATTGTTTTGCATCGTCAAAAAATCTTTAGATGCCTATATTGCCAAACAAGTTAACGTAACGTGGTTTGATAGCAGTCCTATTCGCTACAATCAAGAGATCGGGCTACCCGAATTTCACATTGAGCACGTTTCAAAGGGATACTGTAATGGAACCTATGTGTACGCCCTAACGGCCAACTCCCATAAACTTGGTAATTATAATTTTTTCAACATTTTTTAAATAAATAAAATGTTCTTCGATTCCAGATGAGTTCAGCTGTCTTACTGGTAACTTGTATTTGTCAAGATCCATTGGCTATAATCTTGTTCAATCCTACATCCCAACAGGGCTGATTGTAATGATTTCATGGGTATCGTTTTGGATTGATCGGCGAGGTATATTGTTATCCAATGTTGCTATTTTTTTAATTCAATTAAAGCTGTTCCTGCTCGAGTGACACTCAGCTTCACAACATTGGTGTCTCTTACGACATTGGTTAGTTGAAGTTATTGCAATTATCTATAAATATTCATATCATTTATAGGGAAATGGGTTGCGATTTGGATTGCCACAAGTCAGTTATGCAAAGGCAATCGATTTGTGGTATGGCGGTGAGTTAAACGTCGGGCGTTGCTTTTTCAATTGGCCAGGTCGTATTTCAAACCAATCCACTTCATTTTTCAGCGTGCATGTTCTTCGTGTTCCTTGCACTACTCGAGTTTGCAACTATCAATAGCTACATGCGAAAATCGGAAAAGTTTGATAGTATGGGCAAAAAGATGCAAAGTGTTCTACTGACTGGGCGAAGTATGATTTTGGGGGGAATGGTATTCCAAAAATATCAATGTACTTTCAGCACTGATTTCATAGCAACTCCTTAGTTTCATTTTATGTTTTCCGAAAATTCTAGTACATCTCTCTGGTTTAAAGAAACTTGATCTAATTTTCAAAAAATTATTCTCAGTTCTATAAATAAGCGTAGAATTAATGAATTTGCGTCCCTAATTTCCGTTTCCAATCGTTATTAAGAAATTCCTGAATCATCACGAGTCATGATTTCCCATCATATCAACTAATCACAAGAAACATTTTAATTGTGTGAATCACAAACTCGAAAACAATTAAATTAATGTTTTCGTGGGATGATATTTTTTCTTGAGTACTTTGAAATGTGAAAAATTTATGAGTTTGAATAATCACGAATGGAGATTCTGTGAAAGTGTAAAATTCTCGTATGAATCACTCGCATTAATATTCAAAAATTTAATTCAAAATTAATAATCATTCGAAGCGAAAATTACGAAAAATTAATGCGAATCCACAATTCATTGAAAAAATTGGGTAAGAATAATAGATAATGGATAGGACAAATTACATGCAAAGAAACGTATTTTAAAAAAAATCTATGTCGCACGTTTAAAAGGTTTCTGTTTGAATAATGGTGTTCTCGCACCTCTTAGTTACTCATAAACCGATTTGCACGAAATGCTTCTGTTTGGGAATTGACTCAATTTCACCGCTATTTTGCTCTCATCGATTTATTGTAGTAGTTGATGTAAATACAGAAGAAATGAAACACAGACACACATTCCAGCCAGAGATGTTTTGGTGCGCGGCATCCAGGAGAGCGTCAAAATTGCCGGAGGAGCTGCCGGAAATGTTGGCGAGACGGCGCGCGAGACTTGGGCGACATATACGAACGAAAAAGGACGTAAGCATTACTCAAAAATTTGTAGAAATGTCGTCGCCGTCGAGGATGACCATCCCGGAAAATGGAAAGGTTTTCATTTTTCATCTGAGTTCCTTCTTGTTTGAATCTAATTTAGTTGTGTTCATGTTTTCAACCTACGTTAATGTCTCGACTAATTTCCGCAGAATTAACAATCCATGCATTTTGTCCGTGCAAATCTAACTTCCCGTTTCATACGTCACATTTTATTTTAATATGAGTTATAATCCAAATTTATTGAACATGGGGATGGTCTGATGTTTTCTTCTTGCATAATACATTATAACAATACAATCATTACTAAATTTGAAATTAATCCGTTTAGGCTTAACACAAAGAAGTCCGCGAGAGTATTCCGGCAAAAATAGCCATTTACAAGATTACGTAAACGAAAAGATAAAGTTTATTGATAACGAATATGATGTGGACTTGAAAGAGGACGAAGGTTTACCAAGAACTTTCAGAATAACAATCAACAATATTATTTCAGCAATGACGATGTCAATCTATGACAATGTGTCCTGTCGAAGGGATGAATATGATCGAGGTGATTAGAAAATAATTCGCAAAAATGCGAAAAACATTGCTGTGCATTCATTTTTGCCGTATAAAACATCCTCTTTTTTCAGAGACTGGTTTTGGTGGAATACGCCAAAGGAATCAGAATGGACGACGGCAAGAGTATTCGTTTGGGAAATTATATGACAAAACAATAAGTCAACAACAGCAAACAGATAATGCTCTTGCTGCAACATATTTCAAGGTGGTTTGCTTGGTTTTTTTTTAAGATTTGCAAAAAAAACATACAGCAATAACGATTTGAATTCAGAGCTGAAAATTCCATACGTTTACCAAATTTCAAATCGATGTCTGAAAAATTGAAAATGATAGTTCCAAAGCGACAAAAAACGTATTTTGCAATTGTTTCAATTTTATAACATCACCCGTGTGAACGAGAAATCGCAAAAGAATTGAAACGAAATGAGTTTTGTTCATTTAGACACATAACTTAGTTGTTTTCGTCGTTTTCCTTGTATTTCTATTTTAGTCTGAACATTCCTCATCGAAATTTCATCGTCGATCTCGAATATGCTTGATTTCAATGGGATTCTCTTATGATTTCGGACCGTTCATGGTGTGGCCTCATATAATTAAAACCTTTGCAAAATACATTTTTTTCACATTTGACACTATCATGTTTTTTAAATTTCAGATATCATTCTGAAAATTATTACGCGTTTATAATTTAAGCCCTGAATTCAAGTTTGAAATCCACATTTGCAAATTTTGTCTAACACTGGGAATGGGTGGAGGGGCGAGGTTCAAAACTTTGAGCGGCCGTTTTTCCAGTCGCCCCCACCTCCCGGTAACGGCTGAGAATTGTAGGATCCTTTCTTTTAACCCATACCTGCATGTGGGTGAAGTATGAAAAAAAATTATTTAATATACTCGTCCAAACGATTTTCCTTATAAGAACAAATTTATACGCAGCAAGTTTCCCTTATAAATTTGAAACACACTGATGCATTTTTAAAGAATATCTTCAACTTAAAATTAGATTACTACCCAACATTCTATATAAGTATGAATGTTTGATTATTTTAGAAGTCACCTAAGTAAAAAATTTATAGCTGTGTGGGAAACGAGAACGCGGAACAAGTTTTTCATAATTCTCACATACATTTTCAATAATCATAGTATAAAGAAATTTTTCTATTCGCCGAAAAATAAAATAAAATGTTTCTTCGAATTTTTGAAGGAAATCCTGCCCAAATTAATTTCAATTTATTTTTCCAGATTTCCGCTTTACATTCACGCAAGGCCCTTAACATTGACAAAGCATGTAGATACGTATTCCCATTATTATTCCTTATTTGGAATATGTTCTATTGGTGGTATTATCTAGTCTACACGAAAACGCCCATCAGCGACAACGCATATCATTGATAATTTACGGATAATTGAATAATAATCCATCATGCCATTTTTGTGATCTCTACGTTTGATTGTTATTTTTCTTAGTTAGTCATTTTTATGTTAATAAAAATAAGTAATTTTTGTCGAAACTTTATTGAAAATCGCAGCAAAAGACATGAAAAAATAAAGAAACAAGCAAATGGACACTGGGAATTCGGACAAACGATGAAAATGATATTTACAACAATGTTATTGATGTTGTGCATGATATTAGCATTGCTCTAAACATGTTCGTTGCTCTCATCAGAAGACGAGAACTGGAAGCGCATAGAAATCGATTGCGATTTACGTGGAGCTTCTTTTGACAGTGGGATTTGAACAGTAGTCGAGTTGGATCGTACATATCTTTCGCAGCGAGATATCTGAATATTTTTTCTGAATTGTTAACAAATCTTTGCGATGGTACCTTCTGCTTCTGCTCAACGTTGGCGCATAAGACTCCGCTGCGCATTTCACTCAGTACGTGATTGAATACACGGGTTGCGCATTCTTCAACCTCGTTCGTCGAGAATGAAATGCCCCGACCATTCGCAGTCTCCTTGGCACTGAAACAAACAAAATATATAAATTTGAGAATGCAAAATGCATCTTACGTGACAGAGACATGTTTCACAATAGTTTCAACAACAATGCTTCTAATCTTCTTCCACTGGTCTGCCTTGAACTGCAATTTGGCTCGCAGAGCAGTTTCTGTGTACTGTTTGTAGATCAAGCGGCTACTATTTCGTTTATTTGAGCGCTCTCCGAACCTGAACTCGAAAATTGGTAAAACCAAATTTTCATTATAAATACCATCGGAAGACATGGCTGGTGAAGTCGCCAACTTCTTCACCGATTTTCGTAACCATTTCTTGATTTTCACAATTTTTATCCTCTTCGTTATTCATGAGCTCCTTCACTTCTGGCATTTCCTCGCAAAGCTAAATAACCAATCAAATTTCCCAAAATTCTTCATATTTAGTACTTTCTGCATTATTTCAATTCCCAACTCATTTGGGCCGATGCTCAGCTGTTTATAAATGTATTCTGACACTCTGACTTTGATCGAATTGTGCTTGAGAGACGTGGAAAGCGTCGTGCTTACGGCATCCTTTTTCTGAATTATGCATTATTGTCATTAGTTTGATGAAAAACTGACTACAGCTCAATTTTCGTTTACATTCAACTCATTACTCATGCAAGAAAAAAATGAAAAAAAAATTGTTTTGCGCGCTCGGAAAATTGTAAATTGAGCTTAATTGGTCAAATTAGGCACGCGGTGTATGAATCACCTCGCAACTGGGAAGATTGTAAAAGAGAAGCCAATTAGTCGCACTGTGAACGACCAAAAGCATATTTGAGGCATCAGTGAGATAGAATGAGTTGATGTATCCGTCATAGTCTCCATTGCTAAATAACCAAATTTGAGGAAAATATTCGGAAAAGAAACAAACTTCATATTTCCATATTCGAGAAGTTCGAGAAGAATCGTGTTGAACATGTAAAGAGTGTTGCACAAAATGAATTTGAAGTTCAAGAGCTGAATGAAACGCCGAATTTATAGTTTTCAAGTTGATTTCTTACGGAAAGTCTTAAAGGAACATTGCGGTTGAATCGAACGCCAATATGGAAATTTCCAACAGATCTCTGGCTACAAGCCTGAATCGTTCGGACAGTCAATGTTCCAATGACAATTATCGGTATCGGGGCGCGGAAGAGAAGGTCAGGGAAGAAATGAACAACTGAACCAAACATTGTGCTCATTGCGTACGATTTTTTTTACCAAATCTGTATAATCTAATTTTGTCGTCATAATATGGCTTCATCATTGTATGGTTTAGAAAGGACGCATTTCCATCGGGATTAAAAATTATTTCGTAACAGTCCACCTGAAAATTATTATGACATTCTACAAACAATTTTGAGCTCAATTGTTGTGACAAGAATTGTCTGCCAATCAGAATTTTGCATTCGTGAATGCAAACTTTCGAAAATTAGCTATTAATCCTATTTGGAACTAGTTAATCCAATTAATTGCTCCTAATAATAATTTGATCACCAACCAATTACATTCACCTTGCAAAGCATTGCTCACTTACTAATTCATTTTCGAATGGGACTGGAAGAAGGTTCAAAACAAATGCAAACACGGTGATCGTAAGACAAATCCATCCAACTCCGAATTTAGCTTTTCGAGTTCGCTGTTCCAATGGTGAAGACACGGCCAAATATCTGTGGACAGAATAAAACATGCAAAAAGTTTTTTTTTTGCGTTTTTACCTTTCAAGGGTTATGGCAAACACTTGCCAGATAGTGCATGAAACACAAAATGAAGCAAAGGGTTGAAGAAAGAAAAGGATGTAAGCAAATGGGCCATATATAGGAGTAACCATGTAGATCAGCGAAGGGATACAATATGTGGCTGTAAGATTTCCATTTCATATTTTTTTGTTACTGTCATTGCTTACAGAGACAACAGAGAAGATACAATATATCCCAGAAGCAGATCATTCCAAGGTGGACTGCCAAGCGTTTTGAAAAAACGCGAGATCCGTAAATCTTTAATTTTTAACTGTTTAAGCTTTTTTTTAATTGTATAACTAACCTGCTTTAGCAGAAGTGTACTTCCAACGAGTCCAAGTAAAGAGAGAAGAAGCGTCAAGATACCGTTGTAGCGAAAGCTGTAACTCGGAAAATTAGAAAACAATTAAAATGTCAATAAAAAACCTAAACACTTTATAATGCGCATATTTGATACGCATCGGTTGGGAAACATTAGCAGTGGCAACACTACGGAGCCATAGCTCCATGTTGAAGCACCACTCATTTGGCAAATTGGGAATGATATCAGTTTCGTTGTCCACGTTCGTCATTACCTTCAATAGTGGAAGCAATAAGATGAATTGTCAAAAAAAAGAACAACGAATAAAGACAAATTTTAAAAAAGTGTTGATAAAAATGATTACAAAGTGTTGTAAAAATGTTAGTGTTGCAAGGCAATACTGTCATTTTACAATCATATTTTAAGGGTTTTAATAATGCTCGAAATCATTCTAAAGCTATTAAATACTTGGAAAAATGATGCTTATATTTTCTTGTTTGAGCGTAATCATTACTAGAACAATTAGTAACAGGATGAAGAATGAATGATTAAATCCGCTCAAAAAAAAAACATTATTCGCAATTAATACGCCCGATTGAATAAGATTTTCGCAAAGTAGAAGTAGGATACCTCACACAAGAAAAACCAGCTATTTAATGTTGAAATCGCATGTTTTTTATGGCCGTCTTCTTGAAAATTTGTTAGGGATGTTGGTCTAAAATACTACAAATATCGGAAAGATTATTTTAATATTTTATTCAGACCCTAACGTCTAAATAAGTTGTGGCAGTTATAGATTGACAAAAAAGAAAAAAGGGGCGGCGCTTAGCGTTCAGAAAACACACGATTTGAGAACAACATCTTCAACATATCAGAACATCTCAAAAAGTAAGAGCTCGCTGAAGTACATTAATTGAAAGGCGGAGTCGAGAATGGATTAAGTGGGTGGAGAGCATCGGAATCGGGGATGAGAAAAACGAAAATAAAACAAAGTAGAGAAATACGAGAATGTCTATGAATCAAATATTGGATAAATACATACAATAGAATAGAGAGACAATAAAGTGCAACGGCGACGACATGCGGTTAAATCGGAAATTGCAAAAAAAAGAACACTCGATGCTTCTTTGAGATTTTATTGATGCATGTGTGATTCCCAAATACATGCATCTTTGCAGAAACTAAAGAAGGAGCTGCACGTCGTGATAACCTTTAAAATTTTCCCCGAGCGCATTTTAAAATAGGTTGGTCATCTACATGTGATTTTTTGTGACGCGATCCTGCCCACTCATGGCAAAGAATCTGAGAGAGCAGCGCGGAGACTCAAAATGTGGACATGCAGGATGGATTTTGTCATCATCATGTAGCAAGGCAATTGCCAGACAAAATTGTTGCTCAATAATCGTCGGAACAAGAATTCCTTATTTAGGGCGAATAGTTTTAAAACGGCCGCTTTTGGTTTTTTTAAAAAAATGTAGAGATGATTTGTTAAATTTCTTATTTTTTATTAATTATTCTCAGCATAATAGATCGTGAGAAGATGACGGTAAAATATGTAATTAAAGGTCGTTTGATTTAAATATTTTAATGAATTCAAATCCAGACCACTGCGAAATACTTTTACACATTTTCAAAATGCAGCATACATCAAATGAAACAAAGTTTCAAGTTATCCCATTTCCGATGACGTCTGTTTAGTTGGAGGCAGACACTCCAATTAAAAAAATATTTTTAGGACAAAATATGTAAAGATATTGGGATAAAAAAATATTTTACGATAATTCAAAGACCGCGTTCGTGAAAAAAAAAAACTTATACAGCTTTTCAGAAAAATCAAATTTGAATAAATTTTTGAAAATTCATTTACCGTAAACATTCATCATTAATTCTATTTTTGGAAGTATATCCCGAAAACTCTTCTAGCTCTTTTTTTGGCTACTTCATCAAGTAGACAGGAGCTGAACAAGCAAGACAAATTGAAAATGCAAATTTTTGTGGTGCACACGACTAGAAAACTAAAATAAAACTATATATATATATATATATATATATATATATATATATATATATATATATATATATATATATATATATATATATATATATGGTGAGATTACACCTTGGTCTTTTGTTTCTGAAAATGGTGAGATTACACCTTGGTCTTTTGTTTCTGAAAATGACGATAATTCAATCTTATTCTATTGATATCGTTTGCATATTCATATTTCCCAAGAATATCTATATTTACAACATGAATGATATTCAGTTGATTAGTCGTGATACGAGTGATCTCAATTAACTGTAAATATCATTATTACTCATGGCTAAAAATTAATTAGTTAGTCATATTCTTAATTATTTTCGCCCCCTTAAAATTATGAAACAGTTCATTCGCCCATCTTTTATTTCTTTAGTATCAGAATGATTCAGGCGTCAAAATTTGCTGATTATACTTTGACGAATATTCATCTGAAGAAAATCAGAAAGCTCATCATAGCGGAAATTGAAGTGAATTTACAATTAGGTTCAATTTTAAATTGATGTTCTATGATGTTGAACGAGATACAATAACATCAAGGTCACAATAACGAAATGCCGAATTCACCGGCAATTTGAGCAATTGAAAATGTGATAAGAAATATTTGAACGTCACAAAGAAGGGCACAACATCAAGAAGGTTGTTTGATCCGTAGCTCAATTTCTATATTTTTCACGGAAGCTAGGCTATGGACAATAATTATAGAGCTCCTAGAGTATTTGGGCAAGAACCTCAAACACCGAGAAATAACGACGAAATAAAGGACAATTGATTATAGCTCTAAAGGTAAAACGTATTCAAACTAGACATCATGAAAATTTCCAGTTTTGTCGACATGCTGGCATTTTGGCATTCATTCAAATTTTTAGGCACCGTGGGAATTCCCAGAAATAACTTTTAGTCTGTAGCAATATGATTAAACTGTTTAAAACCAAACATTAAAGGTTGCCGACATATTTATCTCGCGAAAATCGACTTATGACAAAGCAGTTTCTGGACATATGGTCCAGCGAACATTGAACTTACAAATCAATCCGAGCATTTCTCGTCTATTGCGACAATTTAGCTCTCTAGTAATGTTCTGAGGCTTCGTATTAATTTTGCGAGAATATTTTTTCCATAAAATAATATTCGAGAACTCCGCATGATCAAAGTTTGATTTTCAAGTTCTATGATGACTGATCATAATTTTCATCGTGAAGATAATTTAATTATTTTGAATGAACACTGAATGAACTGAGTAAATAATATTGAAGCGTCATCAGTTAAGACATTGAAAAAATGAATTAAAAGAAAACTGTTCTGCTTGGGAGCAGTATAACAATTATTCATGAAGTCGATAAACCAAGGATGAACAACTCAGCGAAAATGATCATTAAATACTTAAGTATTAGTTCAGCAAATAATTCATGAATGTGAAAGTAATTTAATTGTTTATTTTCGTGCGATAGTATAACATAGAAATACTTGTTTCGTGGATATACATAATATTATAAAATTATATATACCTGATGGTCTACAAGATCACATTTTTAATTTATGATTGTTGAATTCGAACCATGTAAAAATTACTTATACAATAACTGACCTGCTATTAAAATGCTATATGTAGTATGCTTAATTTTGCATTGCTTAAAATAATGTTCTATTTTATTTTGCTCATATATACATACGATAATTATGCTCATCGAATTTACTCTAAAACAACTATAAAATCACCTGTACTAGAAAGGCACATTCAGGCCAGTGAGCATTAGCGATGTTTGACATTATGCCTGCATTACAGCCATGATTTAACTAAAACTTGTGTCACCAGGAATATGGCCTTAATTATAAGGTTTTTGAAGCAATATAACGTGTGTCGAAAGCCCGTTTTAGCATTCTGTTTACGTTACATTGAAACGCCAAAAATAGAGTACACCAAAATTGAAAAGCAAAATATTTGTTCGAGAATCCGAGAAAAAAATGCGCAAGTCATGGAGACGAAATAAGAAATTTTGATTAGAAACACCAAACTTAGCTGATAATCATTTTGATAAAGTAACAAAGAAGAACTGGTTACTGTAATATTACTAAATTGTCAAAAAAATCAATTTTTCTTGAAAATTGTAGTCGCTTTCCTGTGACAAATATGTATTGGTAAATTTACTGTCATTTATATCGTGCAACATGTGTTTTTTTATTTGGAATTTTTATTTCATGTTTTCAACTTTTCTTGCTGATTTTTACAATAACTCACATTTCTAACGATATAAAACTATGAAAAATATGATCCTTCGAATTTCAAATACTCTATGAGATTATTGTGAATAACAAATGCCCAGCAAATCTACCATCGCATATTAGTCATTATGTTTAACTTAAAAAATACAGAAATAAATTGACATCTTGTACTTTCTTTAGTTCACAGTGCAAATGTGTAGAGATCTCTTGATATACGCGTTCGTGTAATAAAAACAGAAACAGTTTTTGATTTTATTATGCATTTCTTTCATATTTATGGGCTGGGTATTTATTAGGGTGCTCTCATTCTGTTGTTTGAAAAATAAACATTTTTCTACGATGCTCTTTGTTGTTTACTTAATGGAAATGGATAATTAAACGTTGCCAATTTTGTCACTTTAATTATTCGTAAATGAAATGTGTCTTGTGAGAAGTGACACGTCGTTTTCAGACGTAGACTAACTTTGAATACGACACTGCAAATAATTGCTTATTGAAGCTGGAATTATTAAAAATAAAACTCGAGAGCAATCATGTCAACATGTGGTCGTTAAAGTATAACTTGAATATCGCCAGCGTAATCGCAAATCCGAAATGACATTGGATATGGGTTTCAATACAGCAAAGGTATCAAAAAATGGTACATGCAATGACGAATGAAATGGAAATCAAAATACTAAAATATTCATATTTAAAATTTATCAAGCGTCACGAAAAAGGAAAAAAAGAGAAAATCTTGAAAAAAATAGGCCTAGTAAAAGACGAGAGTGGATATTTTGTGTACTCACAGATCCCAATAGTATGCCAGGCTAGGCAGGGATTCATAAAATAGAAAATATTAAAATTAAAAACCCTATTTGATTGAAAGTGCGCATGGTATTTAGTATATACATACATATATGTACTGTAAACTACGTGATGCTTTTGAAATAATTTAGAATTTCTAAATTCCGGAACAAAAATAACACAGTTGTTAATATGCTACAGTAATGTATAAACGTGCTTATCTA